GGCGGCGACCTGGTCTTCACCTCCGACCACCACGACCAGACGACGCGAGACGCCACCGGCGGCGAAGGCGAGGGTGGCGGCCCGCCCCCGATGACGTTCCCGCCGCTATTCTCCCCCCCGCGCGGCGGCGGCGGTGGCGGCGACGGTGGTGGAACCGACCAGGTGAACCTGGGACCCTTCGCAGGCGGCGGTGGGCGGGCATCATCACCGACAGGCGCGGTGCCGTCCTCGCTCCAGCTCGGTCTCTTGAACTCGGTGTCGCCGTCCATGCTCCTGGGGCCCGGGGCGGGGGCGTGGCTGGGCGGCGGAACGGGGGGTGTTGGTGGTGGCGGTGGCGGCGGTGGCGGCGGTGGTGGTGGTGGGACCGGGGTGTTCGGGGCGTCCATGGCGACGCCCTCGTTCGTCCAGACTTCGCAGCTCGCACCCTTCTTGCTGTCGCAGATCGGGGGGCCCCACGGAGGGAGTTTTGGTGAGTGTCTTTTAGTGGTGGGGGGACTCGGGCCGGTCTTGATGTAGTGTGGGTTGACCCAGGGGGCGTACCAACTATTTTTCGTATCGCAACAGTGAACCGTATTCCAAAAGGCAAGCTGCCAAGCCTCTCTGCATTTGGGTGCGGTTTTCATATACTCCGTACGAACGATCGTTGCCCTTTGGCATGCCAAAGGTGCCGTAATAATGAACAGGGCAAGCGCCACTACTCTTTTCCTTTCGCCTGGCTGGCGTGAATGAAGGTCGGGACACCTCGGCGTTGAGTAGGCCGTTGCCGGGGTCCTTGCCCTGCGTAAGTTGCGGGCCAACTAGTCACGCAATATGCTGACCTCCTCAGACAACTAGCCCCCCATTGGAGAGGCAAAGATCCCAATTCAAAAGGTGAAGGCACTCCTCAGGGACCAGAGCCTAAGTGGACCGTTGTCTTGCTTGAGACAAAAGGAGAAGTGAAGTGCGCGCGTTGCGTGATTGTCGTCGTGTCTTCTGGCGTTCCGTCCTCGGTGTGTGGTGTTGCTTGTTCGAACCGTCTCAGTTTCGATTCTCACCGGAGTTTTGTTTCTGCTGTTCGGAGGCTGTCAATGTTTGGAGACGTGTCTCCAAACAGGATGAAATTTCCGTAGAAGAAACCCTGCTCGTACGTCTTCGTCCGAGAATACAGCCCCGGACATATGTTCTTCCGATTTTTTTATCCTCCCCCTTGCCCGTCCCCCTCTGCTCAAACCACAGCGGGAGGAGCAGGAGCCCCTTCGTTTCTAGGACGCACGACTAGCAATGGGGCTCCGGCTGCGGGCCCGGTTGGGCAAGAGCAAAACTTCTACTGGCTTGAGAGGGTGAGTTGACCTTTGTAGATGCTTGAACAAAGCAGTGATTGTTACCGGTTTCCACGGCAAGTAGGCGGATAGGTGCCCTTGTGGGGTGCTGCTGCCCGCCCACCCTGGCTCACCCGGGTGCCGTATCGCCGGCAGGAAGGACATGAGAGACCCACCTCTGTGTTTCAGAGACCTCTTCCAATCGTTCTGTCTCTTTCTCTCTTTCCCTCTCTCGTATATGTGCACCCTGCCGTTCACAACACAAATATTCCCTCCCCCCTACGCCGACGGTAGCTATACTGGGGAAAGTGAAATCAATGGGCTAGATGGGCGAGGGAAAAGTATTTTTGAGCCACCTTCGGCATTGAAGGAAGGAACGATTACCCGTCGGTGGTCGGGAACAATGCTCTCGAGGACGCGTGGTCAATGGCCAAGCCGCTAAGGCATGCAAAACATAAGAGTACGCCGCCGCCCCCCCCCCCTACCCTGTTCGGCAGTTCTACGCCGCACATCGGAGCGGCGGCGCCGGCCTCTCCTTTGCCTCGGGAGACCCCGGCCCTAGGACGGCGGCGGCAACCACCGCCTCCCTAGCAGGTTTGATGAGTCACGGCGGTGGCGGGGGCGGCGGGTCGAGATTTGCGCCGGTGGCCGCTCGCCCCGGCGCGAGGGGGCCTGCAGGCGTCCACTCTCACCACCACCACCACTACCGCCGAAGCGGGGTCTCCAGTGTCGGCGGCTCGGCGGCCGTACGCCGGAGGGGCGATGGTAGCGGTAGCGCGGCGGGGGGCGTTGGGGGCGGGAGCGGGGTAGGGGCGAGGAGCAGAGCAACGACGAGCGATGAGGAGAGGGAAGGGGGGTTTGCGATGGAGATGACTTCCCAGCAGCAGCAACCGCACCGGCAGCAGCACGATGACGAGGCGGAGGAGGAGGAGGAGCGGGTGGAGGGCTCACAGCAGTACGGGGAGGACGGCTGAGTGCCAATAGTGTTTCAAGGGGATGTGAGACGCTCGGTTCAGGGAGTTACCCCGCTTGTTTTCAAGGAAGGAAGGAAGGCAGAGGTGTTGTACATTTCGGATCTTGAACATCGGTCCCGTCAGAGAGTAGCCAGACATCGCACCATCCCCGCTCCTGCGTGTGAGTCGCATGCAATGCTTTCGAGAGCTCCTTTTCAGTTTTTGTCTTGTCCTTACGACGGATTTTTTTTCGTCCCCGTCCCCGTCCCCGTCCCCAGCTACACGCCCGTCGGCGTGACGGTGGACAGGCGAGTGTTTTGTCTCTCGGTGCTGCTGCTGCTGCTCTTGCCACTGTTGTGAGTGTTTGTTGATGGTAACTTTGAGTTTAACATACATAGCTCTGGGGTTTATTCTTGGTATGCGTGGGCGTGGCCCCGCGCCGCTTGTTTTTCGACGTGCTGTACGTGCGGCGGGTAAGCAAAAGAGTGTTGTTTCGATGGTGAGCGTCCACGGTCAAGGTGACGGGATAACAGGCATGTCCATAGTGTAAATACGTACGTATTGGTAGGGGTGGTGCCCGGGAGTTTCGCGCCTGTCGGCGGGAGGGACTCAAAAGAGTCTCGGGTTCCGAAGGTTTGGTAGCCTCCTCGGCGTTTTGGAGACATTCTGTCGGGGTTTGGGCGGGCAATTTGGGTACTACTGCATGAGGCTTTGTTGTGTTGTTTAAGTAAACAGCAAAAAAAGAATGAATAAAGTGGTGTCCGATTTTGAGGGACTGCTGGGGGGGGGGTCGTCTTTTCAGGTATCAGGGAGAGATGCGTGGAGTGTGAGTGTCAGGGCAGTTGCTCATGTTGTTTTGAAGTCTGAACTGCTAGGTTCGACAGCAGCTGCAGGACTGCTGAGGGAAAACACCTAGCTAGTTTCAGCGCAGGAGTTTGACATCAGGTCACCGGGGGGACTCGGGAGGCACACGTGCGGGTGCGCCCACCCCACGAAGGCTAGCACTAAGATGCGTGAGTGATTGAATCGATCGCTGTTTCGGGCAAGGTTTTCGGTGCCTACAGGTAGTTCTCTCATGATGCCCCCCTCGCGAGTTCTCGCGAGCTGCACTCTTCTGGAGGATTCCGCGTCAACCGTTGGACTAAGTTGCAACCGCAAGGATTTCAACCAACGCACCCCCCTTGAGAGTGCCGTCTCAGGAAGGCGTTTCGTTCTTCGATCTTTGCCACTCTGTTTTTTTCCACAATCAATCATGGATCGTCATGAACTGCGTGGTACGTACACGAAACTGCGTCAACCCGTGTTGAAAATCGAGCGGCGAGTCGAGGACAACATGTCGGACATATATATATGCCCAGGGATTTTGCTCGAGTATCACCACGAACTTGGAGCGTATTGAGTGCAGTTCATTGCGCGCAGCTGTTCCGGGCAGTTAAAGCACGCTGGGGTGATGGGTGGGTGAGAGGTCGGCGCGGCTGATGTGAATGAAAGCCACGGCACACACAGCACAACGTGTTCACGGGTATCCTCTTACGGCAGTACGTGTAGTACTTTTCGTGAGGGTTGGGCGGGGAGATTTTTCTCTGGTGCCCTCTCTCTCGCGCGCTCTGCTTTGCTAACAACAACTGCAGAGCATGAATGCATGCAATTGTGTCCAGTACGCGGGGTTCAAGAATCAGAAAGATATCTAGAAAGCGTACAATTTGAAAGCGTAACCTTGATCCTTGATCTTCGTAGATCAAACGCTCGCTTTCGGAGATGCGGCGAAACTCTCATGAATCTACGATAAGAGACTCCCTCGGCAGCTCGGCTCGAACAGGGCGCGCACACGTTTGTATGCGATGCGGTGGGACGGAGGACGGGACAGAGCGCGCCATGGCCTTGAGCAGGGGATCGCAGACAACGGAAGGGGTGGTTTCCCGCTCGCAGCCACAAGCGCAGAGCGATAACAGCAGTGGTTCTGCTGCGGGGAGAACACGAACTGCATCCTCATCGAGGTCAGTGACACAAACAGGAGTATTGCATTGAATTGTTGAACTCAACACACACAGTAGTAGTGCGAGGTTCCCTGATTCTCACAAGGCACTCTGGACCACGGAAGGCATCCGTGTCATTGGGTCCGGTCCGGATGTTAGAAGGTACTGAGCAGAGACCGGAACGGAACACAGCAACAACATCAACGTACTGCTGTCCATGTGAGCTTGCGGGGGGGCGGTACAGGCTGCCTACAGCAGCAGTTGGAGACCTAATTGGACCACTGCCCCGATGATGAGACATTTGAGTGCTGATATCGGCGAGAGTGGTGATGTCTACAGCCGAACTCTGCTGCCGTACCTCACGCTGCCCTCCAAGCGGTATATACGCGGCAGGGATGGGCGCGGCAGCTTTGATGCATGGGCAGGCAAGTAACAGTTCCTACTGCGATCAGATACACAAGGGAGCTATGAAGTGGAGGAAACAGCTTCACACCTCCCTTTTGAACCTGGTCGCGTAGACCTCACTTACGTACTCATATGCCTGCTCATGCATCGAAGGTGAGACGTTGGTTTTTGCGACACCTCCCCATGCTGTCGCGACTGTTGGCGGTACTTCTGTGCAGATGATTATCTTGAAACTTTGATTGTCAAGGTCCCGTTGGCAACGGGAAGCAAACCTGCCCCAATTTAGGGTGCCGTATTCCACACAAGATAACCCCCACATGAGGAACCCCCCCCCCACACACACAGAGAGAGACTATCACACCGGGAGACAATATTCAACATGAGAGCTTAAGAGGTGATACGTTTGTTGGTGGTGTTCTTGCATCTCTGTCGGTGTTTCTTGTCCTGGTTTGAATCTCGCGCGCGCGCGATCTCCGCTTTTAAATACACGCCTTTTCGCGTAGAAACCCCGGGGTTGGGGAGCAAAATCTCCTACGAATATAGGCTACATATGCCGGTGAAGCACACGGCCATCTGCTCTCGGAGTACGACGAAACTGGTGTGGAGAAGAGCGCGCTATTTTTCTTCTTCCTCAGAAGCGCACAGATCGTCAATCGGTGCCCTATAGATCTCGTTCTGGTCCCAAAGGTGTGCTAAATAGGCTTCGCGGTAATCAAGTTTTGGGGCCCCTGTATCGCGCGGCGCAACTTTGGCCGATATATAGAGCCTTTTTTTCCCTCCTGGGAACGAAGGGAAAAAATGTCGCTCGCTTCGCTCGCTCCGCGGCTCATTACAAGAATACAACAATACTCCCAGATCAAGCGGAACGGTCACCGAAGATACCCCCCCCCCCCCAAATATCAACACTTCCCGGCGACCATATCTTTAGGCCCCAGCGATACCATCGGGGGTGTTACCCCCCGACATTTATTCACCCACGTACAGGCGTACGCACGCCTCCGCCCTGAAAACGATCGACCTCATTCCCGCGTGCGTGCCTCCCCAGCAGACAAAGGGCTCTAGTGTCGCCCATCGATGCCTCCCTGACTCTGTGGAGCGAGGGGAGACGGGAGCGCGTGGCCGAGCTCGAGGAGGAGCTCCGACTGCGGGACGCCAGGCGGCGGCAGCAGCAGCAGCAGCAGCAACGGCGAGAAGAGGATGAGGACCAGGAACAACAGCACACGAGGCAACATCGCCAGGAGGGTGAGAGCGCGACAGGGAGAGACGCCACGCCAGCCGGACAAGGAGGAGGAGGAGGAGGCGACGAGAGCGTTGTGGCCACGCCCACCACACCAGCACCGACGGCGGCGGCAGGGGGGGCACCGTCGCCAACGCCAACGACCAGAACCCCAAAAGCAACAGCACAGCCGCTCAATCGACATCACCACAGCGGCGGTGCAGCAGCCGCAGCAGTAGCAGCAGCAGCAGCGGCGGTAGCAGCAGAAGGCACCGCTACTATTACGGGGGCAAGCGCCAGACCTGGCGAGGCAGCAGGCGCTCGGGATCGTGGCCACCCTCGCGGTGGTTCTTCCTCGACCACCCTCGAGGACAGGCTGGCGCGCTGGGGTGCCGGGTGGAGGCCGCCGGCGTTGCGGCCGCTTCCCCGCGGGGGGGAGGGTTTTTTCTCGGGGTGGACTCACCTGGGCCAGTCGGAGCGGTTCGAGCTGGTGAAGAGCGCCAACAGGTGAGCAGCGAGCAGCTTGCAGGGATCGTGATGTACTGTTTTTTTTTTTATCGTGAGTTTAACACATGGAGAGGGGCCAGGGGGGTATCCTTGCATGGGTAGGAGTTTGTTGGACGTTGTTGCAAGTAGAATCGTATGTGGACGAGGAGGAGCGAGGGGGGAAGGAGAAGAGGTGGAAGATGGAGAAGCACAACGTCGGGGTCTTCTGATTTTCTCTACCAGTATTGCTATCGGCCCGCATTACTGATCGCAGACCCGGTAGCATGACATAGTCCCTACGAAGCTCGGCCCTCTTGTGAGACAGAGCTATCCGGCTGTCTGTCTCCCTGGGCACTTGCCATCTTCTGAAGGCATCACGGGAGTGTTCGCTTCTTCAATCCCTCAACATTAGGGAGCTACGAAAATTGAGAGGCCTCCTCGACATCTATTAGGTCAGTTGGGCAGAACGATGCCCCCCCCCCCCCCCCCCCCCCCCCCCCTTTAATAAACTCATACCCCCCCCCCTTCCCTTCCTTCCCCCAATAAAATCCCCACCCCCCAATCACAACCCCTCCCTTTTTCTCCTCCCCCATTTACTCATTTTTTTTTTC